TCCCTGGTGCCCTTCCTCTTCCCTGCTCTCTGGCGGTGACGTTGGTCCCGATTTCCAACTGCTCCCCTCTGAGTCCCCTCTGGCTCTATCTTCCTGGGGTGTCCCCCTAGGCTCCCCCCTTGCCCTGGCCACTGGTGCTCCTTTCTGTGAATCTTCTGATTCACTGGAAAGACTCGGAGATCTCGGGTCGTCGTCATCACTCATCTTTTCTTCTGCCTCCTCCCCCTCGCTCTCTGTTTCCTCCCTTGCCCTTGCCTCTGCTCCTGAACCCCTGACAAGTATGTCCAGGCTAAAGCTCCTCTGTTGGCTGCCAAGGCTGATCTTACACCTTAATAATTGTTGATACATACTAAGTAATCTTTAGACACTGCATCAGGGAGAAGTACCAGTTGTGGGTCCTGGGGGGAAGTGCACCAAAGTTTAAGTTAATGGAGACTGCTGCATGATCAGAGACTGTCACAGACCCAATTTCTGCACTCGCCACCTAATGAAGATCACCTTTGGGTATTAATATTGGGTTCATGTGTGACATTGATTCAAGAGAAAAACATGAGAAAGCCACTTCTGCCATTCGGAGGAGGTAGAGTTGCGGGCTTCACAGCCCCAGCACGCGCGTGGCGGCTGGAATACTGCCCCCGTTTGATTGGGGAGATTCCTGGCTAATCGGCTGGCTCTGGGGGTGTGGCCCGCCTTATTTAAACCAGGACGTGGCCAGGGATCTCCCTCTTTGCCGCCTGCCAGCTGTTCCTGCTTTCCCCACCCTCCTGCCCTATAAGGTTTTCGTTCCTTGACTTTGCTATGGACCTTGGTTGGTTGCCGTTGAGGGGCCTGGTAGGAATTTTTCCACTTGGCAAATTGGCACCAGCCACTTGGTTTTTGCCTACCTCGTAGCAAATCGTCACAACTTTCTTGGTATTGGCGGTTAGGCATTGATATAGTTCTGTAATTGGAAGAGGGAAGGTAACGCCATCACCTGCCCCTCATATTGAAGGGTAGTCCAATAAAGGATTCCAGGGGGCAAGGCCCTGTCCGAAGCCTATGGAGGTGAGGGCCTAAGGCATGCCCCCAATCGGTGGCCCTGGTGGAGTGCCTAGTTGATGTGCATCAGCAGGTCTCCCCCTACTAGTGGTTAACCCTTCCCGGACTTCAAGTGGACGGGCTGAAGCCAGATATAGTTGGTTAGGACCAATGCCTAAGCCAATACCGCTCATCACCTGTAGCCAATAAAGTTGTGGCCTTAATTAGCCCATTAACCTTAATAATTGTGTCATGTGTCATTATTTCCACTTGGGAGGGCGGGAATCCGCCACGCAATTCCCTGCCTTCCAGTTGCAGTGCCTGACAGGTATCCAACCAGGTCCCATTCAGTCAACATTTCTGCCAAGAGTGGGTTGGAGACTTTGTTCACCGATCGGTGCCTGTGCCAGTCCTTAGAGTCATCGCTGCAGCAATTGAAGTCTCCTCTTATTATGGTCGCCCTCTTTTAAAATGGTCTAATTTTGTTAGTGTCTTCTGGATAAAGTCTTGTTGTGCTAAGTTGGGTGCATAGAAACAGGCAGTGGTGATTGGATGATTGCCTATGACGCCACAAACAAAGAGGTAGCTGCCTGCCAGCACTGCCAAATTTTCCTCAACACTCAGAGGGCAGCGCTTTCTTATCAGGACAGCCACAACTCTGGAGTTGCTTGCCTATCCAGGGTCCTTTCAGTAAGCAGCCCTCTGGTTCCTGCTTTGATGTGTCTCCTGCAGGAGAGCAATGTCTAGATGTTCCCTCCACAGGGCTGCCTCTACTCTGACTCAGGTCCGCATATGCAAATAAGGAATTGAAAGTGACGTTCAGTGATTGGATAGTTACAGAAAGTTGTTACTGTTGCTTTGTAGCTGAGCTCTATATAAGCAGGTTGGCTGAATCCTTCAGTTCAGTTCTGTTCTGGCCTGTGAATAAACAAGAGCTGTCTGAAGAATCGCTGTGTCGTCTGATATGTTCACCCACAACTTAACGGGGCTGCCTCTACTCTGACTCCCCTCTACCGTTGAAGGAGAGAAGCTCTATTGTTTGACTTGGAAGAATCATGGTAATTTTGGTAGAGGTGTGGATAGGAGAGAGTTAATTCCTAGGTAAGCAACTCCTTCTCTATTAAAGATGGCATTTTTCAAGAAACTCAATTTTTCTGCTGGGCTTTTAACTTGAAAATCAAGCAACATAAACTCAAACTGGGTAATCCTGGGACATACACTCTGTCTCAATCTAGCCTACCTCACAGGGTTGGGGAGAGGATAAAATGGCCGATCAGGGTAGGATAGAAATGTGACAAATACATAATGAAGAGAGACTTTTAAAATTCTAGGCACATTTTAATTGGCAATCACTCCAAATGCAGTAGTTTTTTCCCTCATGCTCCAAGCGTAAGATGAAAAGGAAATGAAGAAAACCCAGGGTGAGAAGCTGTTTCTTTCATCAATGGACAAACACTGCGGTGGGGAAAAGTTGGAGGTTTATTAAGACATCCTTTCTCCCCCACAAAGGCTGATGTGCAAGATCCAGAGGATATTGGCTTTGAAGCAGGCTCCTGAATTTTCTCCTGGAAAGAAAAAATTGGAACAGATAGCAGCAGGCAAGGTATTGGGATGGAATTAAATAATTTGATTTATTAATTTATTTTAAAATGTGTTTGTTTTTAAACAAATACATTAACCATTAAACACTTATCAAGCAGTGCAGTTAATAATGTGTTTGTTTTAACTGTTGTCTCTAGACATCCACTAATACCTTCAAAAGTCAAACATATTACTTGATCAAACCTCTCCACTGAGAATATTGAGCGGTTGGTATACAAGGTCTTGATTTTGGTCATTAACATTCTTAATGAAAGGGGTCAATGTTTCTTGGAAGGTGAGACCCTCAGACATTGCTGCATCCCAGATATTATTTTCCCACATGTTCCGCGGTATTTGGAACATGGGAACAGATAGCATCAGACAAGGCATTTGGATGGAGTTAAATCATTTATTTAATGCATTTATTTCCCACCCTTTCCTCCAAGGAGCTCCAGGTGCCATTCCTGATTCTCCTCCCCCATTTAATTGCCACAACAACCCTATGAGGTAGGCCAGGCTGAGAATGACCGGCTCAAGGTCACCCAATGAGCTTTGTGGCTGAGGATTCGAACTCTGATTTCCCAAGTCCAAGCCTGACACTCTAACCACTCTGCCACACCAGCTCTCATGCACTTTATAGAACCCTGCAGCTCATGGTACATCGAGACAACTGATGCTGTTTTTAAACCAGTTCAACCACTGTGCCATTCCAGTCGCTTCAGTGGGGCTGCAATGATCAACCAGGGCCAGCAACAGAAGTGGGGGAAGGCTATAAGATATATTTCATGTTCAACGCACAACCAATTCTGAGTAGCACTTTGCGGAAATGTGCCGTGAACCGAGTATTTCTACGGACATTCGGTCCTGCCCTTTGACAGTATGAAGGGGCAGGTTCACCCAATTATGCGCAATCACATTGGAAGGTTTCCGTAAGTGAACCCCATGCGAATGCAACAAAGTTGTTATTTGATACTCACTATCTCCTGCCAACCTAGCAGTTCGAAAGCACATCAAAGTGCAAGTAGATAAATAGGTACCACTCTGGTGGGAAGGTAAATGGCGTTTCCGTGCACTGCTCTGGTTCGCCAGAAGCGGCTTAGTCATGCTGGCCACATGACCCAGAAGCTGTACGCCCGCTCCTTCGACCAATAAAACGAGATGAGTGCCGCAACCCCAGAGTCGGCCACGACTGGACCTAACGGTCAGGGGTCCCTTTACCTTTATGTTGTGCTACAGATCCAAGTTTAATGTTCCAAGTGTACAGTTCGTTCAGTTCATGGGTGTGCTTGCATTATTGATATGTCATTAGGATCTCAATATTTTCATCAGGTCTGCATATTATCATATTTATTATTAACCTGAAACTGAGGCTGCACATTTATTTTATATCCAGTCTGAAGATTTTTAGCCAGCTGCCCAATCAGTTTATCACTAGGGTCAAACCTGTGCTCTGTGGCCCTGGGGAGGAACGCAGTGGAGGGGGGGAAGATGACCCCAAAAGGGGTTCCCTTGTGATTCTCTGGTTCCATGTATAGTTGTGCGGAAGGGGAAACAAACTCAACTTGTCCCTGAGGCAGGAATACACTCTTTGCACTCTGCAAACCCCTTTCAGTTGAGGACTCACCTGCGAATTCATAAGCAGCATAGGTAGGGATCCCTCTGCACAAGGCTTCAATGTTCTTCCCATATGGGGCCAGGTTAGTGATCTTCTTGGGAGTAACCATGTAAGTGAGGTTCTTGGGTGCCGGCCCTTTGGTACGATCCTTCTAAACAGGGGGGAGCAACAGCACAGAATTGAAAGACGGGACTGAGTGGGTCATATGCATTTTTGTGACGATTGGTTGGAGAATTCAATCACCAAATTCAAATAAGCAGAAATCTTGAAGGACAACTTTGGATGTACTCCTATTATTTCAGGAAATGCAAATTTAGTAGCTAGCTGTTGAAGGCCTTATTCTTCAAGAACTTGTCTAATCCTCTTTGAAATCCACCCAACAAGGCTCCTCTTGGCTTTACCTGTTTTTCCTTGATGGCTTCTGGAAGAGTGGTCACATCTGGCATGACATTTCGATTCATTTTGGTAAGAATGCAAGATTTCTTGGAGAGGATCCGGGTTGCCATGTAGCCCTGCCCAAGCAAAACAGGAGTAGTCAGATGAGCATTACGCAAGAAGGGACAATTCTGTCAATTTTACTTTCTTCCAGTTTTCCCGTCTTAAACTCAGTTCACCCCATTACCACCTCAAACCTACAACCTTTAAAGAAATAAAAATTCTTGCATACAATATTCCCTAATATAGTGCAATTTTATATATACTGTTCACTAATATAAAGGTAAAGGTAAAGGGACCCTTGACCATTAGGTCCAGTCGTGACAGACTCTGGGGTTGCAGCGCTCATCTCGCTTTATTGGCCGAGGGAGCTGGCGTACAGCTTCCGGGTCATGTGGCCAGCAGGACTAAGCCGCTTCTGGCGAACCAGAGCAGCGCACGGAAACGCCGTTTACCTTCCCGCCGGAGCGGTGCCTATTTTTGCACTTTGACATGCTTTCAAACTGCTAGGTTGGCAGGAGCAGGGACTGAGCAACGGGAGCTCACCCCATCGTGGGGATTCGAACCTCCAACCTTCTGATCGGCAAGCCCAGAGGCTCTGTGGTTTAACCCACAGTGCCACCCGCATCCCATGTTCACTAATATACAAATTTACAAATTATATTCCCTCAATTTATTTTTGCAAACTACTTTCAGTAGGGTTTTTTCCCTGCAATTGACCACTATATAAATTTTATGAAATAAATGCTTGCATTTTGTGCAGTTTTTGGATGAAGAACTGCATTATGAAATCTGCAGAGTTGTGCCTCATTTGGCATATTGCCTTGGGAAGTAGTGATGAGGCAGGTCGGCATAAAATGTGGAACTGAGCTTCATTTCACCCCCTCCCCAATACTGCATACTCTATTGTTCTCATACCATTTCGGAAATCACAAATTCAATCAATTCATATTTTTTTTATGTGAACTAAACTGAATTCCTTCCTTATCCCAAGTAAAAAAAACAAAGGCATCTGAATGTGTGGGTGCTCCTTACAGTGCCGTAATCCCAGATGTTGTTCCAGGAGTGCCAGCCATTGTTGTTGTCTACGTTGACCACCTGCTTTTGGTTGTCAATGCTCACAGACTGATGGGAATGGCCCTCCACATTTCCCTGGTTGTCTTCGCTGATATTCTTGAGTGGGAAAAATGAAGAACAGCAAGACAGTCAGATTTTCAGTGTTCCAGATTTCACAATAAACATTTCTTTGTAAATGCAGAATAGAACAAAAAGTGGACGTCCACCTCAGTAAGCATGACTGAAGCCAGCTCTCAGGCACAGTTCAGTCTGAAACATTATTTTTTTCCAAGCTGTGTTTGGAGATGATAGAATCCTAGAAATGTAGAGTTGGAAAGGACCAAAGGGTCATCTAGCCCAACCCTCTGCGATGCAGGAATCTTTGGAACAGCACCCGGCTCCTATCCCTCAAAACCTGGCAAATTGGCCACCCTACGCAAGGCTCAAGAATGGGATCAGAGGCAGCCTCAGAGGACAATGCTTCCATGTTCCCATAGCTGCTGTGCCCACATTCACAAAGCAAGAGGGTCTCATCATGCAGAATTCTACACCAAGATATAAAGGCAGCCTCAGAGCACATCCGATTTCGAGCTTCTAAGAGCAGCAACAAGACAGAAACTGAAGTAATGTAATGAGAGCAGTGTGTTTAATCTGTCTTAGTACTTACATTATCGGCTAAGGTGGGGGCTAGGAGAACGCCCAGGAGCGCAACACTCAGAGCCTGGAACAGATTTCAGAAGAAGAGTAGCGTTACATGACAGTCATCTTCTATTTATAATCAACTCGGGTTTTTAAAAAAATTCAAACATAATCTCAGTACATTATTTGTAAACTAATCTACAAAAAACAACAACTCAGGCTATGAATCCAGCCGTTTCTCGCTCATTCCTTTGCTGCATAAAGTGCCTGTACTCTTTGCCTCCTATTTTGGACTTCCGGCAACTAGAGATCGATTCAAGCATGCACTGGCTAACAAATTATTCTGAGTAGGGGCAGAGAAATTTCCCAAGTGCCTTGATTTCCAATGTCCAACTTTGACATTAGGATTCCGGCTGCAGCATCCTATGTACGTTCAGTTTTCCAGTAGCTAAAAGGACAGTTGTGTTTGTTAGTGCATGGGGGTTACTTCGTGTCTTAAGATTAAGACCGCAATCCATCACAGAGTTAAGAGCTCTTAAGCACAGCGGCTCAAGTGCATTCGTGGGCAGGAGGGCTGTTTCACCATGAGTGTGTTTCTTGCATATTCCTCAAGGAGCTGAAGCCCACCAGGTCTACATATGATGTAGCAGATTTATTTTATGTTATTTGTTGCATTGCTTTTCCTCCAAGGAGGGTAAGGTTCTCCCCATATCATTTAATCCCCAAAACAGCCCTGTGAGGCACGTAGTTCGCTGGGTGACCTTGGCCTAACCTACCTCACAGGGTTCTTGTGAGGATGAAATGGGGGGCGGAGAATCATTTATACCACCTCTAACTCCTTCGGAGAAAAGGCAGTATATAAACGTCATAAAATAAATACATAAACGAAATCTAGAAATTGCTTCCCACAAAAAGAAGAGGTTTTAGGGATAAAGTGGGTTTTCCGTCGCATGGGCTTTCAGTAGAAAATGAAAAGTTGTGTATACTCACAATCAGCTTCATTTTGTCGCTGGAAGTGGTGCGGGATCAGCTAAAAGGGAACCCATCCACTTTATATACTCTGGTTTTCAAATATTAGGTGTGGAGAGTCTGGAGGGGTAGGGCCCCCTTATCACAGTGGGGCTGGTTCTCCTCAGACCTGGGGCATGTAGGCGAAGGACAAGGAAACCGGGTGACGCCTTACAGATAAGCCACACGAGGCCGATAAAAGATATAATCAATACACTTTTTGATAACATTTGATTGCACAGAAGGAATGGGTGGGAGGCGTCATTTTAAAACTGCTGAATTAAGACCGAGTTTAATCCCACAAAACAAACACGGCTCGCCTAGTAAGCCTGTTGTGTGAAATGTCAAGTAACGTTCCAACATCTGCATTGATCAGGACGGGCAGAAATCTGGATTTTTTACATTTTTACGTTCCATTCTTGTGACTTTTGCTTTTAGTGTGGCATTCAGCTATGTTTTACTCAACGGAAATTAGTGAACATGACTAAGTTAGGACTGTTAATTTCAGTGGGTCTACTCTGAGTAAACCTACTTGGCTACCACCCCTAGAGTCGATCTAATTTTCAAGGAAACATGAATTTAACACGAGAAAACATTCTGAGGTGTGTTGCTCCAATGGCTACAGTTCTTTGTCTTCCCTGCTCACATCTTTAAATTGATATAATTAATTGACCCATGCATACACAAAAACTGTTTGCGAAGGCCAACAGCCTCTTCTGTTAACACCTGTAAGCAAGGAAAAGGTAAGGAAAAGGGACCCCTGACCATTAGGTCCAGTCGTGACCAACTCTGGGGTTGCAGCGCTCATCTCACTTTACTGGCCGAGGGAGCCGGCATACAGCTTCCGGGTCATGTGGCCAGCATGACTAAGCCGCTTTCGGGCGAACCAGAGCAGCAACGGAAACGCTGTTTACCTTCCCGCTGGAGCGGTGCCTATTTATCTACTTGCACTTTGACGTGCTTTCAAACTGCTAGGTTGGCAGGAGCAGGGACCAAGCAACGGGAGCTCACCCCGTCATGGGGATTCGAACCGCCGACCTTCTGATCGGCAAGCCCTAGACTCAGTGGTTTAGACCACAGCGCCACCTGCGTCCCTTTTAAGGAAAAGGTGGCCCCTTTCAAAATAACATGCTGATAGCGGTATGGAATCGCTGAAAGAATAAATTTGGTGGAGCACTTGCCACTTTCTGTAAAAAAAAGATACAGACCATCTTTCCATGGATATAAAGTTAAGTTCTTGCACTGCAGATCTTTGTTTAAAACCTGCACAGTTCTTCACATCTGGCACGAATGTTTGCAAAAGTGACATTTACTCATCCCAACTCTCCCCAACTTGGTACCTTCCAAATGTCTTGGATTACAAATCCCATCATCAGTTCCCAACCATCAGAGCTGGGCTCCTCCCCAGCCTGAGCAGCATAGCACCAAGTTGGGGGCAGGGGTGCTGAAGGGAGGTTGTGAGGGCTCCCTGGCCGCGGAAGACAAAAACCAACAAGGAGAAAGAGCTGGCACAGCCATTAGGCAGGCTGAGTCCACTACCTCCGGCCCCAGGAGACACACCCATGGGTGCCCCACCTGCCTAGCTGCCTCTGACAGTGGTGGAGAAGAATCACCACCATTGGTACCAATTTTGGGCAAGATCACAACCATTTGGGGCATGATCTTGCTTGAAATTGAATGAGATCTTCCTTTATGCTCTCAAGATTACATGCCTTCCCTTCTGCATTCTTCCCTTCTGCAGATTCTTACATACTCCATATCAAGCCCGTCTGTGTGCCTGCAACCAAGTACAGTGGTAATTCGGGTTAAGTACTTAATTCATTCCGGAGGTCCGTTCTTAACCTGAAACTGTTCTTAACCTGAAGCACCAGTTTAGCTAATGGGGCCTCCTGCTGCTGCTGCTGCACCGCCGCTGCACAATTTCTGTTCTCATCCTGAAGCAAAGTTCTTAACCCGAGGTACTATTTCTGGGTTAGCAGAGTCTGTAACCTGAAGTGTATGTAACCTGAAGCATATGTAACCCAAGGTACCACTGTAGTACCTGATTCAATGGACCACAATCTCAAAGATTGCCCTTTACACAGCAGACCTCGCCAACTGATGCTGAGCAAAATGTTTGTGCTGGGCCCAGGAGTTAATTTGAGCAATGCAATGCAGTCCAGGTCTGGTCCCGAATCCAAGGATTCCGTTATGAGTCAGCCCAACAGGGCTAAGGCAGGACACAAGGCAGGAAACCAGGCTAGGCCAGGCACAGGGTCTTAAGCAGGTTCTAGCAAACAGCAATGTTGCTCCTGCAACCTGGGGCAGGGTCCGACAGCCTTTTATATTTGTCGGGGTAACGGCCGGTCCTGATCCCCCGGTGATTCACCTCCCTGTTTCACCTGAAGGCGAGCACTCCTCCTGCGAGTACTCAGGTCTCTCCTTCTCTCAGACTTTAGTCTCTGCAGCTCGGGAGATGTCAGTGGGTTACTAGACCCAGGGGCCGCCTCAGCCTCTCCTGACCCAACTGGTAGATGAGCAGCTGCATGTTATGTACTGAAGTTCTCACCCTGGGCCAGCAGGGGGATACTGTAGATAGCTATGCAAATGAAGGATTGAAAGTGACGTTCAGTGATTGGATAGTTTTAGAAAGTTGTTACAGTAACGTTGTACTGGAGCTCTATATAAGCAAGCTGACTGAACCCTTCAGTTCAGTTCTGTTCTGGCCTGTGAATAAACAAGAGCTGTTTGAAGAATCGCTGTGTCGTCTGATATGTTCACCCACAACTTAACACTGTAAGTGATGGCCCATCTGAAGGCAACAAGGTAATCCCCACATCTGGAGCCAGGGCAGGCTAAGGCCCCTGACTCGGCCCAGCTGGTGCTTGTTGCAGGGGAACCTGTGCAGACTGGGGCTCTTCAGGATCAGGCCCCAGACTAGGTTCAGATGCTGCCTGAGGCAAATGATCCGGTGTGGACTGAGACTTCTCTGGTTCCGAGTCTAAGCCCGAGTCCCAGGCCATCACAATGTTGGACCTCCGACCTACAAATCTGAGAAGAAGTCAAATGAGGTTTCTCCCCATCAGATCGGGACAAAGATATCATGGCCTTAGTAGCTTCCTTTTTAGCCACAATTTAACCAGGAACGAACCATCCTTTTGGGGAATAGACAGGGCGAAGCAGAATACCTAAGTGTGCACGATCACAGCATGACCTTACTACCCTCGACAGCTTGACCCTTGCCCTTTTAAATTACTGCAGTAACTTGAAATGTTTAATATCGTGATGCCAATACGGCAAGAGTCTTGATAGCACAAGGATGGAAGAATGAGGAAATCCCAACGAAAGAACAGTGGCAAGAAAAATTGATGAGCTATGCGGAGCTGGCTAAATTGACATACAAACTGCGGGAGAACGACAACTGTGACTTAAGGAAGAATGGGAACTTTTTACAAATTATCTAAAAAGACAACAAAATGAAATGGATTCCTTGGCAGGTTTTGAATAAACATACAAAAATTGATAACAAGATAGATAGATAACGTAAAGATATGTATAATTTTATAACATGCAGAGAACAATATGTGCAGAGAAATCAGAGAAAGGAACTGAGGGAAGTCCCTGGTGGTGGGAGGGTGGTGGAGGGGGTGGGTGGGAAAAAAGGGGGAAAATAATGTATGGGATTGCAGTCATACCTCATGTTACGTTTGCTTCATGATACGTTTTTTCCGGTTGCGTCCTGTGGCGATCTGGAAGTACCGGAAAGGGTTACTTCTGGGTTTCGCCACTCGCGCATGCGCAGACATGCAAAATGATGTCATGCGCATGCGCAGAAGAGGCAAATCACAACCTGTGATTGCGTTCTGTTCATGTTGCAAAAGGGCCTCTGGAACGGATCCCATTCGCAACCAGAGGTACCACTGTATATGGTTTGATAATTTGTTATGTTGAAATTGTTTAATAAAAATATTTTTTGAAAATAATATCGTGATGCTGATAAAGGTACTTGATTCGATTTGAATGAGATCTTGCAGAGCAAGCAAGATCTTGTGCGATTTGGGGCAAAACCTCACCCAAAATTGGTATGATCTTGCCTGAAATTGGTGCCAATGGCAGCACTGCTTCTCTGCCAACGGTGGATGCGGCAGGGCATGCAGTGGTGGCAGGAGCAGGTAGGTGGCGACAGCAGTGGCAGCAGTGGCAGCAGTGGTCCAGCAAGGCAGCGCTTCCTGTTTCATCTGAAGCAGTGAAAAAGGACACACCGCCCCTGCGAGGAGATCTCAACATGTGTAAAGTTTAGACGAAGAAAAAGGCAAGCATGAGGAGGAAGTGGGTAGAGAACATTTTTCCTCCCTTTCTCTTGACGCTAGAACCCACCAACCTCCAACGATGCTGAATTTTGGAAGATCCAGAACAGATTAAAGGAAGACCTAGATTTCCCCAGTGAAATCTCCAGGCAGGCTATCTGAAATCCTGAAGAGCTCTGCTGGCCAGTTTAGACAATTCAAAGCTAGACCCAATAGCCTGACTCTGTTCCTATGTAATGCACTCTAGAGGTGCAGGGATAAGCACTAATTAAAACATAAAAGAGCCATCCTGGATCAGGCCAATGGCTATTTGGTCCAACATCCGGTTCTCACAGTGGTCAGTCTGAAGTTCCAATGGGAAACAGGCAAGCAAGTTATGGAGTCCGTGACAAACTAGTTGGTCTGAGCAAAATTCAGAACAGAGGGTTTTCCATGCATATTGGGTTCTGCTGCGGAAACATAGCTTAATAATGTGGAACTCCAAAATCCTGGTTAAAATTTAGGTGAGGGAAGTTTCAGAAGCATCAACTCCCTCACAGAACCTCCGACACACACGCCTTTATTTAAGAACCTGATATCGTAGAGCAGATGGGCAGACTAGAGGCAGGCAGCCGCAGACATTCTGGAAAGGGTTAACTGATATTTGCAAAATGACCAAATTGGAATTTTTTCGCAGCTGACTAATGTACTCTGGGCTATCGGGCGTGGTTATCGGCTCAGCCCAAAATGCAGATAAAGCCGTTTACCATGGCGGGTCCGATAGATATGGAGTCCCGAAGTGTACGGGGCCTATTTCTGTGTAATGTTCCCCACACCTACAGGCAAGATATAAAAGTTCGAAGTCTCGGGAATCTTATTCCATTTGCTTCTCAGCTTCTTCCCCTTATCTGAGAGAAAAATGAGCGGACTCGTGAGTATAGCTGGCAGAATCCTTTTAGCAAAAATTAATATATTTAGGTGAGGTTGTGAATTGTCTTTGTAAGGGTGGAAATTCATAGCAGGTGGGGATTCACCGCAAGCTAGCATCTCTTGGAAGGAGACAGGGACCTTTACTTCACATTTCTTCACATTTTACTTTACATTTTGTGAATTTTGAAAGAACTTGCTTTGGTTTTGAATGAACTCATTTCTGTAACTACAGAACGATTTTCTGACAGCAAAGTAGGATTATATTGTTACACACCACACCTGGGTTCAGATTCCTTGGAAAGAAGGTCAGCAGAGACTGTGATGTCTTTAGCATATTTGGTTTTATTTACACATCTGTACAGCGTGAGCATAGGATGGAGGGACTCATAGCATCAGCACCCCAACAGATCTTGCTTCTCCATGAGTCACAGCTTTGGATTCAGCACAGAGCAAGCAGGTCTCTGTGTCTCCAGGCTGCTTCCAACTCAGTTCTGTCACACACTCTCTGGCTACTGTGCTCCTACCTAGCAGCTAGGTGAGCAGGTGAAGGACAGGCCCACTCTTCAGCCTAGAGGCCCACCATCACTTGTTGTAGTTCTTGCAACCTGGCTCATTCTTTTGGGATGCTGATGAGGACACTTAAGTGGCCAGCTGAGGTCGCCGGCTTCCTCAAAAACTTGCCTGTCTAGCTCAGCAGCAGAATCCCCTATTGACCCTAACCCTCACTGTATACAGGCCCCCATGTTTGGAAGGGACTCGGGGCACTGACCCCCTCAAACCCACAACACAATCAAAACTTTGAACGTCATGGATGTTTAAACTGAAAATATGACATGTCTCTTGCAGGGTACAGGAGATCTGAGATCCAGAGAAGGATAAGAGAGGATCCTGAGACTGGGGCGGGGGGGGGGGGGAGCTCTTCCACAGGCAACCTTCAATTTGGTGTGTTATTCCAAGGCCTGTGGAGGTTCATAGTATGGCAAATTGGAGCAGGGCATTCTGCGTGGTGGCCCCCTGACTGGGGAATGGACTTCCACCCACTGAGGGGCAACAGGCACCTTCCTTTGCTGAGCTGCCACTGGCTGTTGAGAACTCAGGCTTACTCCAGCCTCTGATGCCAGCTGAATGATTCCTAGCTACTGAAATCATGATGTGTTGCCTTTACTAGACTGCTTTGATTGGATGTAGCATTCCTGTTTTGCACTGAATTCCTTGATTGTACACTGCCTGGGTAATATTTTGATGAGAGGCAGTTCACAAATATTTTAAATAAAAAGCCAAAAAGTGAGGCATGTCTTGGGTAGATTCTCTGAAGGCCCTGCAGGGGTCATTCAGTGACCCCCCCCCCATTGGACTGGTGGGAACAAAACGCAGCCTCTTTGTGGGAGTTGGGAAGAATAGAGCTTCTTGTTCTCCTCTTCATTCCTTGGGGAAATCCCATTCCTCTTCTAATACCAGCATGGGGCACTGGTAATATTGCTCTCCCAGGGCATTGACAATCCCTGAATGCCACAGGGAAGCTGACCATGTATGGAATTGTTGTGCATTCACTTGTGGTGCTGGGAGCTTCATGTGAAAAGGATCTAGGAGTCTTGGTTGACCACAAACTTGACATGAGCCAACAGTGTGACGCGGCAGCTAAAAAAGCCAATGCAATTCTGGGATGCATCAATAGGAGTATAGTATCTAGATCAAGGGAAGTAATAGTGCCACTGTATTCTGCTCTGGTCAGACCTCACCTGGAGTACTGTGTCCAGTTCTGGGCACCACAGTTCAAGAAGGACACTGACAAACTGGAATGTGTCCAGAGGAGGGCAACCAAAATGGTCAAAGGCCTGGAAACGATGCCTTATGAGGAACGGCTAAGGGAGCTGGGCATGTTTAGCCTGGAGAAGAGGAGGCGAAGGGGTGATATGATAGCCATGTTCAAATATATAAAAGGATGTCACGTAGAGGAGGGAGAAAGGTTGTTTTCTGCTGCTCCAGAGAAGCGGACACGGAGCAATGGATCCAAACTACAAGAAAGAAGATTCCACCTAAACATTAGGAAGAACTTCCTGACAGTAAGAGCTGTTCGACAGTGGAATTTGCTGCCAAGGAGTGTGGTGGAGTCTCCTTCTTTGGAGGTCTTTAAGCAGAGGCTTGACAACCATATGTCAGGAGTGCTCTGATGATGTTTCCTGCTTGGCAGGGGGTTGGACTCGATGGCCCTTGTGGTCTCTTCCAACTCTATGATTCTATGATTCTAAGGTAGCAGAAGGTTCAAAGCTACCCACCCACATTGACTTCACTGCCATTAGCCCAAAATCAAACCATTGCTTCCCAAAGTGGGTGGTAGTGTCTGGGGGGGGGGGTTACCTAGGGGGGTGCAAAGAGGCAAGGGGCTGGCAGAGGATTCCTGGAGATGTTAGTGACTCTTAGACTTTGAAAAGTTGGTTATCACTGGGTCTAGTTCATCCATTTTGTTGAATTAACTAAATAATTTTAATTGACTTCTGAACAAATGTGCCATTAATTGTGTCTGTTTTGAATTCTATTGTGTTATTACCTTCCTCAGGGTAGGGTAGGGGGCCTTGGGAATGAGGTTATGGAACCAAGGGGGCAGTGACCCCTAAAACTTTGGGAACTACTGCTTTAAATGGAGCCACTTCCAACTGTGAGTTTGCTGTCCTATTTTATCTTGATGGACAATATCTTCCCCCTCCCACTTTTATTTCAACAGGCTGTATTAATCGCTGTTCTGGGGGTCTTCTGGAGCCCAGCTTTTGCCACTTTCCAGGTAAACAGAATCATCTCTTTTTCACCATGGCAACACTTCAAATGACGTAACCATTGTGGTGGTATTTACTATACTGGGGCTGTCGTTTTATTTATCCCACTGCATGTATGCCCTACACAACACCAGCATGCAAAAGTGAGCAGAACCCCTAAAATACTGTGAAAAGTGGGACTGGCAGAAATGAAGCAAAACGTAAACAGATAAGATAGAAGTACTGGTGGATTTGCACATCTAAGAATTGCACCTTATTTTGGACAGGGTTGTATCCTGCCCCTCTGAAAACACAGGCACACAGTTTGGAGGCTCTCAGTTTGTTAGCAGAGAATGGCAGTTAGAACATATTACTCTGGTATTGTTCATTTTGCATTGATGATCTGTTAGCTTCAGAGCCCAGTTGAAGATATTGTTTATTTATACCCCTAAACTGGTATAAACTGGATGTGGGTGGCGCTGTGGTCTAAACCACTGAGCCTAGGGCTTGCTGATCGGAAGGTCGGCGGTTCGAATCCCCGCAATAGGGTGAGCTCCTGTTGCTCGGTCCCTGCTGCTGCCCACCTAGCAGTTCAAAAGCACATCAAAGTGCAAGTAGATAAATAGGTACCACTCCAGCGGGACGGTAAACGGCGTTTACATGCGCTGCTCTGGTTCGCCAGAAGCAGCTTAGTCATGCTGGCCACATGACCCAGAAAAATTGTCTGCAGACAGGACTTCCGGGGTGGCGCCTCCGGAAAATGGCGGAATTCCCTTCGGACTGAAGGGAACCCGCTGCACGGAGGCTTGGGTCCTGCCGCTATGGCGCAGCGGGGACCCGCAAAAACCACAGGCGGAAGAAGCCTGTGGACGTGGGACTCGGCGGGCACCGAGAGCGCTCTCCCCTGGTACAGGAGCCCGGCAACGGGCCCGGAGTGGGAGGTGCGTGGTGCTGTGAGTCGACTGCTTCCTCCGTGCAGCAAAGCCGCACTGCCGTTATCGGAGAGCGCTGCCTTTTCCTGGACAATTTGGCATCTAAAATATCTATCCGTGAGTACCTGATCTTGGAAGAGTTGAACCACTTTTAAGACTGGTGAATAAACAAATAATATTGGACTTGAAATTGAACTTAATTGGGACTCGGAATGGGAAGGTCTAAACAGGAAGTCGCCTTCCGTTCTTTTGTTATGTGAAGAAAGCAAAGACAAAATATACTAAAGCTTGAAAATTAAATTCTAAGAGAACTAGAATTCAACATCTAAGATTTCTGAACCCCCTTGACTGCAGGAGAAGAAGGGGGTTGTATTTGACTTTTCAATGCTGCGGAAGTGAGTTTAAAATAAAGCAATTTTCCACCGCCCTGAACCAGGAGCGGGCTGTCAGAATTGACGTTCTGAAGTTTATCCAGCTCGACAGTTAGTTAAAAGAAGGGTAACATTTTGATTCTACTGTTGCCTCTTGAATTTGGAAGGGGGAATTTTGGATAAAGTGTTTCTGGAAAAGAAAGATTGTTGCTGTTGCTTTTATTCCTTTAAAAAAAAAAAATTTCCATCTAGTGGAATTTAGTGAAATTGCAACGCAGAGAGATTAAAAGAGAAGGACTATTGGACTATTGTCGTGGGAAAGAATTTTCTTTGACCTTGAAGGACAATGCTAGTACAAAGGCTTGAACAATTGTTCCTGGAAGGTTTTTCAAAACTAAGTGCCCAGCTGGACCAGATGCGTCAGGAGACGACCTTGATGATGGAAGTTACCAGAGCACAGCAGCAAACAAATGAAATTCAGTTAAAGGCTATACAAGCATATGAACCTGCTGTAGTGACGGAGGCTTCAGAGATGGAGGGACCTTTGGACGGGCAAGATCAGCCTTTGAACTTGATAAATGAACTTGGGACAAACCAGATTCGGAAAGATGAAATGTGGTCAGATTTGGAAATGGGGGATGGATCGACCCCTCCATATGGTTATTTGGACCTTCCGAGTCTGGTGATGGGCTATCAGAGGATTGGAGTAGCCGAAGTCTCCAAGCTTTGTGGAAATTTGAAGTGGTATTATTTGCTGTCTGGCTTGGGCAATGGGTTTGGGATGGACTTGCTGCAAAGGGTCAAAAGCATTTTCTTGCTGGAGCATCCACGACTGGAAAGGAATCATCAACAAGAGTGGCGAAAGGGGCAAGAAAGAGACTTGAGGGCCTCGGATACGAGACAACCAGGTTAAGGAGCCGGATTATCGAGGTTAAAAGGACTGACAATCCCGGGTCCAGGGGAGGGGAGGTTGGAAGCTGACTGGACTGAATTTGACTTATTATTTTTTCTTTTTATTTTTTAATATTGGGAATGCTTACAAATGTTTGAAGGATGTTGAATGAAATTACATGGCTTAAGTAAGGATTGGTAAATGATTCGTAAAAAGGTAATGATGCAAGAATTTGGTAAATATTGAATATAAGCTATGAGTTTTAAAGTTTTTATATGACAAGAGGGAAAATAGAATAAGGAAACGTAATGACAGATTGTTATGAAAAAACAGAAAGGATTTGCTGTAAAAATTAAAAATTAAGAAACAAAAGAGGGGAGGAGGAGGAAGTCTAGAAAGGAAGTCAATAGAGATTGTAAAGGACTTTATATTTTTGTTTTTCTGTTTCTCTTTTTTTTTCTTTGCGGCTGGGTTTTCTTTTCTTTTTTGTTTATGTACTATTTTTGTTTTTTGTATCCCCCAAAATTTTTTTTTGGAAATTTTTGTTGTTATTCTTTGAAAATTTAATAAATATCAATTATAAAAAAAAAAAATGAAATTGGAAAAGTGCAAGTATGTGCCTTCTAACTACTTGAAGATGGCCAAGAAATCTCACCTTGTCAACTGCCATACCATCTACAGGCAAATAATATTATATCCATGTTGAATATTTGTTATTTCTTTGCCAGAATATTAATCAGGGATTGGCAGCAAATTTACAGAATTAAAATAAAGGCTTTTTAAAGTAAAAAAAAAATAAAAAAAAAAAAATTGTCTGCAGACAAACGCCAGCTCCCTCGGCCAGTAAAGTGAGAAGAGTGCCACAACCCCAGAGTCGTTTGCGACTGGACTTAATGTTCAGGGGTCCCTTTACCTTTAAACTGGGAATCAGCTCCCTTGAGGTTCAGCATCGAAGCTCCTGTCACATGGGCAAGTGCCTACCTCCACAGTAATGGTAGTGCCAACACTGTGGCATGCCTCTGCAGTGGGGACCCTCTGCCTCCCAATACTGGGTGCTGTTAGAAGTCAGTTTAAAACCTGACCCTTTCAAGGATCTGTTGGTTGCTTCCCGATGCTGCAAAGAGATCATTGCCCCCACTGTGCTTATTATTTGTGTTTTTCATTTTTGCTCCAGTTTTTCATGCATTTGATGGGGTTTTTTCCTGCTGCTGTGTACTTTGGCATACTGCCTAATAATGGGGTTCTTTTAAATGATTATCTCATTAGTCACTTTGATTTTTTAAAAGAAAGTTTAAGTGAATTACACTTTTTTAAATATATATACTTAAAGCACCCTTACTTATGTCATACTTCACAACAAGGAATATGTAAAAAATAATAACAACAATTTGGGGGGCTATATTTACTCTCAGGTCTACAGAATCCCAAGCTACAATGGTGATTATGTCCAGCAGACCGTGTCCATAGATAATGAGAATCAAGTGGCCAACATCCACGTCTATGGAGGACTCTGCTCTTCAGATACCATTTTTGACTACAAGCATGTAAGTCTACCTGTTTGTGTCTCACTACAATCTTCTGGGGTCCTCTGCAAAAGAGACTCAGGTGACAGAGGGTGGATCTGAAGGCAGGTGGAGCCACCATCTACCTTGTTGCAGCAATGGAGGTCTGGGACTGGTCAGCGCCTGGTTGGGAGACTACCTTGGAAAAACAGGAATTCTGCCTTGGGTTCATTTGTGGAAGAAAAGTGGGCTTAACAACACAGGAAAGAAAGAAATCACACCAGGAATAACCAAAATTTTAGGCAGAAACTTTTTTTTAATCAGCTGCATTCCATCCATCCATCCATCCAATATCATCCATTTAAAATAAACTTATTTTGGGGTGATCACAGACATTGTAAAGGGTGATAGCAATGGCTAGCACCCGTCAGTCACTTTCTGAGGAATTTGTTTCCAGAGCAGTCAAATTCATCCGTGCTTTTCATGAATGGCTTTCTTCGCTCCGTAAAATAAGTCAGCTTGACATTCAACATACAGATTGGTTTTCTGGCAAGAATGAAGAACTCGTTGAGACTATCCAATTTTGACACAATAGGAGGAGTTAGGTTAGTGACTCAAAATCCACTTTTACAAGTGACAGAGTTAGGCCCCTTTGTTCACCAATGCAGGCATTTTCCTGAATTTGTTCTCACGCAGTTTGTAACGGAGAAGATGGTTGTTTATTTTCTTTTTAAAAAATCGGGTTCATACAAAATGTGGCTTCAGACAAATGTATCATTAGTCGCCTGTCATTACCTTTGAAATTATTAATGCATTTCGGCAAGTCTTTATTGCCACTAAAAGTAAAAATGCTACAAAATGAGGTTGAATAATCAGTTGCAGGACATCCAAATGTATTCAGACACCTTTAATAAAACTGGCCAGTGGCCTCAGAAAGAGTCTTTATTGTTTACCATGGGCCTCTAGTTCAGACTGAAAGCCAATGTCGATTCCTACCTTGGGGTGGGAGCAAAGAGGGGCCCGGAAGTCCCAGTACCTTAATCTCAATTCTTATTCTCCTTTTGTGAATGACAGGGATACATCGCCACCCGGCTCTTTTCTCGACGGGCCTGCTTTGTCATGAAAATGGAAAAAGGCTACATTCCAGAGCTGGAAGAAGTTGGGCGGCTGGCATATGAGAAGCAGGTAACTGCAGAGTTCATTACAGACATCTCAGTGTATATATCATACACTGTACATGCCTATTCTGTTTATGCACTTTGGTTTTTAAAAAAATATGTTGTATTGTCTTTTCCATGGATATATCCTCTAACAATATTTCTCTAACAATTTTCCATATTTCCCCCCCTCCTCCCCTGGACTTCCCTCATACTCCCACTTTGTTTTATTTCCATATTACTCACCCTGCGTGTTCTTTCCCAAAATTTTCCCAATACATATAGTCTTACTTTTTTATATATACAATTGTGTTTGTTTATTCAAACCCTGCCAGTGAGTCCAATTCTTTATGTTGCCTCTTCATATATGTTGTAAATGGTTCCCATTCCCTCTGGAAATGAGTTACTTCATAAACACGTTCCCTTTTTAGATGATGAACAAGATGATGTCCTCCAGAAACGTGTGGGTGAAATATGAACCCAGTGACTCTTTCTTCGGAGAAATCAAGGAGTGGCTTGTTTTCGGCAGCTCCATCGAGAAGCTCTGCAAGAACGTGCCCGTTTACAAAGTTGAAAAAGTTGAGAGTGAGTATTCACAGTCCAGCCAAACAGCTGCTTCAGTTTGGAAATGGAACTTCCAGAGTCGTTAAATGTTGGAAGTGCAGTGGAAATGCAGATCAAACTAGACCAAAAGAGCTCCGCAAACTGGAGTGGTAGGTTTTCTGGATTGGTTACTGAAGAGGTGTAGGAATGTTCGGGGTGGCAGGAGAGGATATATTGTTTATTAATATCCTTCCTAACTTGTGCTAGGGACGTGGGTGGCGCCTTGGGCTTGCTGATCAGAAGGTCAGCAGTTTGAATCCCCGCAATGGGGTGAGTTCCCATTGTTCAGTCCCTGCTCCTGCCAACCTAGCAGTTCGAAAGCACGTCAAAGTGCAAGTAGATAAATAGGTACCACTCCAGCGGGAAGGTAAATGGTGTTTCCGTGTGCTGCTCTGGCTTCACCAGAAGCGGCTTAGTCATGCTGTCCACATGACCCAGAAAAACTGTCTGCGAACAAATGCCGGCTCCTTTGGCCAGTAAAGCAAGATAAGCGCCGCAACCCCAGAGTCGTCCACAACTGGGCTTAATGGTCAGGGGTCCCTTTACCTTTAACTTGCGTTAGCAAGTTTCTTTGCTTAGCAGAGTTTACATTCCCCCTCTCATGCACAGCAGATAGCTGGTTGCAGGCTTGTGCAAGCCTCTCACTATTATACAATTCAGTCTGTCTCAGATTGAATTGCATATTCCTGGTAAGTTCCCTTGAATCCCTCTTAAAAGAATAAAGACACAACAATCTTATTCAAAGTCGATAAAAGAAGTTTACTTACATCAGTTCACAGTTGGATCCCTGAAGGCAGACTTAGTTACAAATATGTACATGGGGATCTACCCCATATGGGGGAATAATCCCAGTGCTTCTGCTAGATGAGAAGCTAGCAGAGCAGTCCTAGATAAAAGCTGGTCCAACGAAGAGGGAAGAGAGAGAGTGGTGCATGACTCGTCCTTTTGTTACCTGGACAGGTAAGGTCACGGCCACCTTCTATCACATGCAAAGGAAGGATGTTCCAGCCCAGGAGGAACAGGAAAGTTTTGACTGGCTGGACCAGACATTCCCCTGCATGTCTTCTCTAGCATTACAAGGAATGTTGTACTTGACTGCTCTCAGTGGATTACATCCCACAAGAGGACTATCTCACTAACTGCCTAATAGTGCAATCTTATCCAAGTCTATGAAGCTTCACTGAGTTCACAGGGACTTGCTCTCCACCCAGTAAGTGGGTATAGGATTGCAGTTTTCAGGTCTCAAATTTATTTTTTATGTTTGTGTGTAATTTGTTTTTCTTGTCTCCTCCCACCTAGGTGGATTCCATGCCGGCGGCTGTGCCAAGGCTGGCATCCTTGGCATTCTGGGCATCTCCATCTGCGGAAACCTCAACCTGTAGACCTCCTGAGCTGCCTCCCAGTATTCCATGCTTTTCCAAGCTTTGCTCCTCCCCGTGAATTATCTCACTTTCCTCAGCTTCTTGGGCTTTCTTCTGCTTCCCTTGAAAGCTACAGCCCAACCCAAGACCTGTTAATAAAGAAAAGCAACTTCCCAACCCTCCCCGCTCTTGGCTTCTTATTTTCAAAGTCACTACAGTGGTACCTTGGTTCTCAAACTTAATCCGTTCCGGAAGTCCGTTCCTAAACCAAAGCCTTCTCCCCAGCAACTACAAAATAAGGTCCTTTCGCTGTTTAGCTCCTGTGTGGCATATGCAGCGACAAAAGCCATCAACGATCATTTAAGAAAATGCATTTGAGCCCCCTGGATAGAAAACTGGATGTACATTTCCAAAATATAAGATAAAAAAACATATTTTGTTATGTGCAAATGGCTTTAGATACCTATTAGGTCCATAAACGACCATGTGGCATATATTCAACACAAAAAACAGCGACAATTTGTTGTTGATAAAGGACAGCTGGACATATAAAGGGCCCCATTACCTTCAGTAGCTGAGGGCCTCATCAGACCTACATCCAGCCCTGGGGGGGTGTCTATGGGGCCAAGGAGGCAGTGGCTCCGAAGCGTTTGGGAACCACAGGAACCACCACTGTGTCCAGTTCTGGGCACCACAGTTCAAGAAGGACACTGACAAACTGGAACGTGTCCAGAGGAGGGCAACCAAAATGGTCAAAGGCCTGGAAACAATGCCTTATGAGGAACGGCTAAGGGAGCTGGGCATGTTTAGCCTGGAGAAGAGGAGGCTAAGGGGTGATATGATAGCCATGTTCAAATATATAAAAGGATGTCACATAGAGGGAGAAAGGTTGTTTTCTGCTGCTCCAGAGAAGCGGACACGGAGCAATGGATCCAAACTACAAGAAAGAAGATTCCACCTAAACATTAGGAAGAACTTCCTGACAGTAAGAGCTGTTTGACAGTGGAATTTGCTGCCAAGGAGTGTGGTGGAGTCTCCTTCTTTGGAGGTCTTTAAGCAGAGGCTTGACAACCATATGTCAGGAGTGCTCTGATGGTGTTTCCTGCTTGGCAGGGGGTTGGACTCGATGGCCCTTGTGGTCTCTTCCAACTCTATGATTCTATGATTCTATGTTTCATAGAATATGGATAATTAAACACTGCCCTAGATAGAACCCATCTTCAGAGTCTGTCTTAGCTAAGAAAGATGTGAATAATTGATAAAGAACTAAGCATGTCTCTGAGCATTTACAGCCAGGGGGTGTGCGCACCAACATTTTTGAGCCTGAGGGGTGTCTTCCTGGTGGTAGATACACCCGCTCCACTCTCTTGCATACAGCTCAGCTGCCTTCTCACTCATCAAATAACCAATCTGAGGACTGGGGTTGTGGCACTTTTGAACCCCATCCTAGTGCTGAGCAAGGCCGAAGACCAGGTGCTGTCTTTAGCTTATTCATTTATTTAATACCCCTCCACTCGGTGGGGTCATCAATATTTTGCTCTGGTGGGTGCCCTGATGTGGCCCACGGGCCAGGTTTTAGCTGGTCCTGAAATACAGCCTACCTTTTCGCTCATTTACTCGGCAACCACAACTCTTTCCGATTAAGTATATTTATTACCGTATTTTTTGCTCTATAAGACTCACTTTTTCCCCTCCTAAAAAGTAAGGGGAAATGTGTGTGCGGCTTATGGAGCGAATGCAGGCTGCGCAGCTATCCCAGAAGCCAGAACAGCAAGAGGGATTGCTGCTTTAACTGCGCAGCGATCCCTCTTGCTGTTCTGGCTTCTGAGATTCAGAATATTTTTTTTCTTGTTTTCCTCCTCCAAAAACTAGGTGCGTCTTGTGGTCTGGTGCATCTTACAGAGCGAAAAATACGGTAATTCCATAACATTTGTATACCTCTTGATGGTTAATGAAATACATTTAATGGTTTACAAAATAATATAGCAATTAAATAAGTAACTACAACGTTAAAAAAAAACAACCAGCAATAAACTAAAAAGACATCGTTTTGTCTACATTTCCTAGTACGTTTCCGAGCACAATTCAAAGTGTTGGTGCTGACCTTTAAAGCCCTAAACAGCCTCAGTTCAGTATACCTGAAGGAGCGTCTCCACCCCCATCGTTCTGCCCGGACACTGAGGTCCAGCGCTGAGGGCCTTCTGGCGGTTCCCTCACTGCGAGAAGTCAAGTTACAGGGAACCAGGCAGAGGGCCTTCTCGGTAGTGGCGCCCGCCGTGTGGAACGCCCTCCCTTCAGATGTGAAGGAAATAAGCAGCTATCTTCTCTTTAAAAGACATCTGAAGGCAATCCCTGTTTAGGGAAGTTTTTAATATTTAATGCTGTATTGTTTTTAACACTTGATTGGAAGCCGCCCAGAGTGGCTGGGGAAACTCAGCCAGATGGGCGGGGTATAAATAATAAATTATTATTATTATTATTATTATTATTATTATTATTATTATTATATTGTCTAAGCAAAAATGTTTTCAGCTGAAAAGAGCACAGTGAAGGTGCCTGCCAGATATCAATAGGCAGGGAGTTCCAAAGTGTAGCTGATTAGAGACACGCTATGACTGTAGAAAGGCCTCTGCACCTCTTCTGGGTAGGGAAGCCACTGAGTACCAATTTGGGAAGTGGGCAAACTGAACAGAAATCCAGCTGTTGAAACTTGAGGTGCTACTTTTATCTCTTTGCGACAAATTAAGTTGTGAGGAAGCAATGGAGGCTAATGCTTTATAGAAAGCCCCTCTTACCTGCCCCTCCCCAAACACAGAGACCGGTCTTCTCACCTAGATTGAAGCCTCTGTGGTTGCATGTCGGAATTTTTAAAAATGAGACACAACTGAGTGCAGTGCTTCATGTCACATTATTAAATCTTCCTTCAAATTTCAAGAAATTGAAATCAAGACCCATTCATGTTGTAAACATTTTTTATTATTCTTCAAGTGCTGATAGCTGGATTGGACTTGGAAAACTGAGCAGTGGCTGGAGAGGAAAACATGGACAGCGAGAAGGTTGTTGTGAGGAGAACAAGGAAGGCAAAGAATCGCTCTGTGGACTTTTGGCCAGCATCTTAGCAACTTGGAATGTTGCCGCAGAGATAGATGTTGAATAAGCCACGTAGGATCCCGACATTCGCACACCCTCGACTCTGCAAGGGGAGGTTGGCTCCTGTGAAGGGGGAAAACACAACACAATTATTAGCAAAGAAGCATCAGACACAGTGCTGGCATCTCCAAGACATGGCTGGCCTTTCCAAATTGGGGGCCTGGAAAATAACTGCAGGTCCTGCACCCCTAAGCAGCTTCTACGCCAGGGGTCAGCAAACTTTTTTAGGTGGGGGCCGGTTCACCGCCCTTCAGACCTTGTGGCGGGCCAGACTGCACATGTGCGCACACACAGCGGAGGGGGGCTCCTGTCTCCCCCCAGCCCCTCCCCTCCCCCTGCTTTCCTACCTCCTCCACCACTCTGCCTGCGGTTGGGAGCCGGTGGCGGTGGCGTCGCCTCTCCTTTCCGGGCCAGCTTCCCTGGGAATGGGGCCAGCAGGCGTGCCAAGCTCCAGCCAATGCCCCACGATGTGCCCGTCACGATGCCCATACCGTGGCCATGGATGGAGCGGCCAGTGAGTTGGTGGCGAGTCTGGACTGCGCCTCAGCATGCGGGCAGCGAGGCTTCGGATTAGCTGGCACCAATCAAAGCCCATCTCCCTTCCTCCGCAGGGTGGGGAGAAGCAAGAAGGAGGGAGGAGGGGTGTGTGAGGGGTGGGGGGATGGCGCCCGAAAAAAATGCAAAAAAAATATGGCGCAGCCCAAATGATCACACCGATCCAAGTAGCGATTCTAGGACCGTCCACGGACCGGATCCAGAGGGCAATTGGGCCTGATCTGGCCTGCAGCCCTTAGTTTGCTGACCCATGTTCTACACACTCTGCAAAGTCAGCTTGAATCACGTCTACACAAGAAGCTTAAACTGGCTTGGAATGAGTTTGGCTATCATGCAACTGTTCCCTACAAAAGTCTTGGCAGTGTGTGTGTGTGTGTGTGTGTGTGTGTGTTTGTGTGTGTTTGCTGGTGATTAATTTCTTACGGTAGTATTTTACCCTTCTACACAGCCCCAAATCCCAAGGTTCCTTCAGGTGGAAATATCTAGGTCAGTAGTTCCCAAACTTTTTTGGACCACCCACCCCAACCCCAGTTCCAGTGACCCCTCCCTTACCCATTACAGTGGTACCTCGGAAATCGAATGGAATCCGTTCCGGAAGTCTGTTTGACTTCCAAAATGTTCAGAAACCAAGGTGCGGCTTCTGATTGGCTGCAGGAAGCTCCTGCAGCCAATCAGAAGCTATGGAAGTCACATCAGACGTTTGGATTCCAAAGAACATTCGCAAACCGGAACACTCACTTCCAGGTTTGCGGCATTCGGGAGCCAAAACGTTCGACTCACAAGGTGTTCAGGATCCAAGGTACGACTGTATTCCGAATAGGGGTTTGCACAACCCACTAAGGAAGACAGTGACACAATAAAATTCCAAACAGTAGGAATTAACTGCACATTTATCCAAAATCCGGTTTAAACTATTTTGTTTAATGAATTCAACAAAACTAATGAACTTGATCCTGTGATACCAGCTTTTGCCCCTCCAGTGCCCCCCTTCTATCCCCTTGCCTCTTAGAGGGCCCCCCCCCGATATATGGGGGGCACTACTGCCCTCTTTGGAATCCACTGACCTAGAGGCCTGAAATGGGTTCAGATCAGCAGAGGTATTCCCTGTGCTGTACAGAAAATGGTAGGAGCAGGACATCTAAGCAAAAAACTCATCGGCTTAAAGGAACCTTAATCTGAGCTCACTTCTCCCTTTGGCTCAGCAGCCAGGATGAGGCCTATCCTTCCAAGAGCAGTTTGACCAGCCTGCACAACTGTCAAGTGGGGTTTGATGTCCTGCTCCCTAGTGGGGACACCATTTAGAAAGGATAGGAAGGCCACCTCCTCTCCTCTGTGTGTCATCCTGCCTGTGGTCATGATCTCTTACTGACTTCCTTAACCTGGTCCCCTTCCAGATGTTTTGGACAACATCTCCTTCCAGTCCCAGCATCATACAGCCATGCTGGCTGGGTATGTGTGATGGGAATTGTAGTCCAAAACATCTGGAGGGCACCAGGTTGGCCTAGATTATCTGCCCACTGAGTTTAACCCCACACAGCCATTTCTGCAGCTAGAGAGCAAGAGAAACCTGCCCCACCTTGCTCCTTGGAGGCGTAGTACACAGGAATCCCACTGCAGAGCTGCTCAATGGGGCTTCCAAACTGAACAGTGTTCTGGACACGGGTCTTGCCAACCAAGAATGTTAAGTCACTCGCCGGAAGGGTGCTCTTGGACAGCTGTGCCAGGGAGGGATGAAAAAATTGGAATTACTAGTGGAAATTTATCATGATCAGAGATCATGCTTGGAGATCATAGAATCATAGAATCATAGAGTTGGAAGAGACCACAAGGGGCATCGAGTCCAACCCCCTGCCAAGCAGGAAACACCATCAGAGCACTCCTGACATATGGTTGTCAAGCCTCTGCTTAAAGACCTCCAAAGAAGGAGACTCCACCACACTCCTTGGCAGCAAATTCCACTGTCGAACAGCTCTTACTGTCAGGAAGTTCTTCCTAATGTTTAGGTGGAATCTTCTTTCTTGTATTTTGGATCCATTGCTCCGTGTCCGCTTCTCTGGAGCAGCAGAAAACAACCTTTCTCCCTCCTCTATGTGACATCCTTTTATATATTTGAACATGGCTATCATATCACCCCTTAACCTCCTCTTCTCCAGGCTAAACATGCCCAGCTCCCTTAGCCGTTCCTCATAAGGCATCGTTTCCAGGCCTTTGACCATTTTGGCTGCCCTCCTCTGGACACTTTCCAGATTGTCAGTGTCCTTCTTGAACTGTGGTGCCCAGAACTGGACACAGTACTCCAGGTGAGGTCTGACCAGAGCAGAATACAGTGGCACTATTACTTCCCTTGATCTAGATGCTATACTCCTATTGATGAGGCCCAGAATTGCATTGGCTTTTTTAGCTGCCGCGTCACACTGTTGGCTCATGTCAAGTTTCTGGTCAACCAAGACTCCTAGATCCTTTTCACATGTACTGCTCTCAAGCCAGGTGTCACCCATCTTGTATGGAGATGCTCTAGTGCAGGGCTGAAAATCTCCCTCACTTTTTAAAAACCATTCTTCATCAATTAGGTAGAAGAAGAAGAAGAAGAAGAAGAAGAAGAAGAAGAAGAGGAGTTTGGATTTGATATCCCGCCTTTCACTCCCTTTAAGGAGTCTCAAAGCGGCTAACATTCTCCTTTCCCTTCCTCCCCCACAACAAACACTCTGTGAGGTGAGTGGGGCTGAGAGACTTCAAAGAAGTGTGACTGGCCCAAGGTCACCCAGCAGCTGCACGTGGAGGAGCGGAGACGCGAACCCGGTTTCCCAGATAACGAGACTACCGCTCTTAACCACTACACCACACTGGCTCTGGAAAGATTGCATTCCAAAATCAGGGGTGTCTTACCCATAGAGGCTAGTGGTGCAGGGCGCCAGGGCGCCACGTTCTGGAGGGTGCCAGGGAAGAGGCAGAAGCTGGACGTGGCACCTCCCAGCATCAGCTCACCACCCTCGCCCACCTCCGCCATGCCGCGCCGCGCCAGGAGCCTCCACCTGCCATGGCCACCGTGGCACGAAGCGGCCAGCTGAACCAGGAGCCGCCACGTCCAGCCTCTGCCTCTTCCCCGCTGGAGGAGCTGCCCTCCAGCCGCTGCCCGCCTCCTCCAGCCCCGCAAAGCTGGACCTGTCGCCGGCAGCGCTGTCCTCCCTAAAAAAGGTTGGCACTCTGGGAAAGGGGGGGGGCGCCAGAGGGATCTTTGCACCGTGGCGCCGGATACGCTTAAGACGGCCCTGTCCAAAATTATCATAGAATTGTTGAAGAAGGATCTTTTAGCTCAATCTCCTGCAAAGCAGGAATCACAGCTCAAGTATCCCTGACAGATGGCCATCCAACCTCTGTTGAAAATCCTCCAGTGAAGGAGAGGCCACCACCTTCCGAGGGAGTCCATTCCACTGTTGAACAGCTCCCTTCCTGATCCATCTTCTATGCCCAATTTCCTCCACAAATTCCTTTGTTAGCCCTCCCTGTGGCTCATCTGTAGGCCTGTTCTGCTTATGGCAGCACCCGGAGAGAATCACAAGAGGTGGCCGTGCCAGACAATGGAACCGTGCCTGGTGTTGAGTTTCCCATTTCAGCAACAGATTTAAAGCTAATGGGAGTGATCCGCAGATTTTCCTGCTGGCATCTGTCTTTCTTCATTCCACACACCATTGTGATGTTTAGGACAACTTCATTTGGTCAGAACAATAGCGGCTGTTTGGGGAACCCACAAAAGTGGAGTCCCCAGGCCTATAAATTTCATGAGCTTCTACAGAGGTAAATCAAGTCTGCATTATCAGAGCTGGGTGCCTGGTTCAGCAGAAGTACAGGGCAGGCTACTGTCTATCAGGCCAGCTCAAGGCTGAGATTCTCCCGCACATTCTTGGCACATTGATCAGTTCAGTTCAGTTCAATTTATTGTGTTTAGTGAGCAGCCATTACACACATAAAAATAATAAGAATGCTGCTAATAATAGTGGTTTACATTTCTACTTCCTGACGTCTACAGGATAAATAATTTCTCATTCCCCCTTTAAGTTTCAATGTTTCATTACACGAATCTGTAAAGCCTTGGTAAGGAATTTGGATGTTCTAAAGGATATACAGTGGTACCTCGGGTTACATACGATTCAGGTTACAGACTCTGCTAACCCAGAAATAGTACCTCGGGTTAAGAACTTTGCTTCAGGATGAGAACAGAAATCGTGCTCCGGTGGCGCAGCAGCAGCAGGAGGCCCCATTAGCTAAAGTGGTGCTTCAGGTTAAGAACAGTTTCAGGTTAAGAACGGACCTCTGGAATGAATTAAGTACTTAACCCGAGGTACCATTGTAAACCTCTCTACATCAGACATCAAAAAACAGGTCTTTGCAAGAGACATCCCTCCCTTCTGTGATCTTAACAATGGGTGGAAGTAATTGTTTCTAAGGTCATTATAAAAAAGGGCATTCGAGGAGTACATGAGTTATGTCTCCTCTTGACTCAGAGTTGCAGCCGCAAACTCTGTCCTCCTTAGGAACTCCTTTATGTCAGTCCGTCGAATCTGCTAATGGAAGGAGGTTTAGTCTTGCCTGTGTAAAGGCTATCCCCATTTTAACATTTGGCAAATTGATCTTGGCAGGGATGCATACAATGGAATAAAAAAAACATACACTTAGATTGACAGATGTTGAGCTCAGTAGTTTGTGAATGCATCTTGGTGTCTCTAAGCCTTTGAAGTATTAATTCTTTAGCTCTCTCAAAAATATGAAATGGGGGGGGGGATGGAGTATTAATTCTTTAGCTCTCTCAAAACCCTGAGTCACAAGAAAGGAGGCAGAAGGTCCCAACCTCATGGCAGCAGATTCCATTTCACATTTCCATGAGTTTGGGGTCATGGCTTCCAAAATTGTCATGAGGGATTTTGATACATGCTTGGGGGCGGGGGGTTAAACCAAAAAAGCAGAGCTAGTCTAAGGGCTTTGGCTTGAATGGGCATTACACCCAATTCTGCCGGGAGCAGTGCTATTTTGGTAGAGGTAGGGAGGGTGAAAGAGGAGAGCGCAAAATATAGTCTGAAGCTCAACATCAAAAAAACAAAGATCATGGCCACTGGTCCCATCACCTCCTGGCAAATAGAAGGGGAAGAAATGGAAGCAGTGAGAGATTTTACTTTCTTGGGCTCCATGATCACTGCAGATGGTGACAGCAGCCACAAAATTAAAAGACGCCTGCTTCTTGGGAGAAAAGCAATGACAAACCTGGACAGCATCTTAAAAAGCAGAGGCATCACCTTGCCGACAAAGGTCCGTATAGTTAAAGCTATGGTTTTCCCAGTAGTGATGTATGGAAGTCAGAGCTGGACTGTAAAGAAGGCTGATCGCCGAAGAATTGATGCTTTTGAATTCTGGTGCTGGAGGAGACTCTTGAGAGGCCCATGGACTGCAAGAAGATCCAACCTATCCATTCTGAAGGAAATCAGCCCTGAGTGCTCACTGGAAGGACAGATCCTGAAGCTGAGGCTCCAATACTTTGGCCACCTCATGAGAAGAGAAGACTCCCTGGAAAAGACCCTGATGTTGGGAAAGATGGAGGGCACAAGGAGAAGGGGAAGGCAGAGGACGAGATGGTTGGACAGTGTTCTCGAAGCTACCAGCATGAGTTTGACCAAACTGCGGGAGGCAGTGGAAGACAGGAGTGCCTGGTGTTCTCTGGTCCATGGGGTCACGAAGAGTCGGACACGACTAAACGACTAAACAACAACAAAGGGACTGGCAGGAGTCTCTCCAGTAAATCAAAATTGGCCATGGCCCACGGTGATGCTCCATAGAACATCTCTGGCAACACCCTGGTCTTATGAAGTTCTAAAGTGGGCTGCAACAAGTTGCCCCTTTCGTAGGCTGGAATCATAGTAGTCCATTTAAAGTTCTACCAGCTAAATAAGGTGCTTGATTGAAGCTGTGCAGACCATTAGCCTGCCCACTGAAAGACCAGGCTGAGATACTTAAATGAGAATACTTGCTCCAGTGTATTTCCTTCGAGCAAGCAATTGTAACTTTTCTTAGATTTGCCAAACATCACAACTTTAGTTTTTTGGTAATTTATAGTAAGATGCTCATTCTTTCAGTCCAAGGTGAACCGATTCAGCAGTCTGCACAAGCCCAATTGGGTGTAGGAAATCAAGATTGCATCATCTGGACACATTCATAAGGCAGTGTGAGGAAGCAGTTTCTCCTAATATCCTCTCAAACACTCTTGCAGTGTTTACATCTCTACTCATGTAGGCTACCAATCAAAGCATAAAATTTCCACTACAATACCTTCTGCCCTTTGAAACTGCGGAGTGTCTCCAGGCTTGGGAATAGCTCGAAATCCATTGCTGCTACAACACAGACCCTCTTCCGAAACAGCCTTGCAGCAAAAAGGCCCTATCAAATGCAAGAAAAAGGAGATTTTAATTATAAATCCAAAGATTCAAATCTCCATGGATCTGTCCAGAATTAGTGGGTCTGAATTACTATCTGCTTTTGGGGGCGGGGTTACCTTTTGGTAATCCCAGACGGCATCCCATCCGTTCCAACCATTATAGTTGTGGATATTGGCTGTTTGATCTTGCTGGTTGACCTTCACCGCCTGGTGGGTGCTGATGTTGGTATTGCCTTGGTGCTTTACAGCAATAACCTAGGGAGTTTAAAAAAGGGCTGTAATGAACGAGGCAGGGGGTAGGCATGCGGGGGGGGGCTATGAAACTCTGCCTTGGCTGGGGATGGAGGGGGCGTCAACAATTTTTCAAGTAGACTGTATCAAAGCTGGACATCAAGTCATCATGAAGATTTATTTTTTAGTATTATTTATTGAATGTATCTCCCGCTTTTCCTCCACAGAAAAAAGCAGGAGCACAGAAAAGGCAAAGTATATCTCCAGGTAGACGAACTGTGTTCTGACCTCTGAAAGAAAAATAACAGTATATGTCAATGACATATCCAGCAATGTCATCCAGCAATGACATAGTCCAGCAATGCGATGGACAAGTGGGGGGCAAGCTCCTTGTTTGGGGGGACACCCTCCCCCACCCCTTCTGCCATCATCCATGCCAAAGAAAACCAGGGTGGCACATTTTTGCTTCTGACTTTGCCGGATATGCATGTGTTTTTTAAGTAATTCCCCTTAATATCATGCATTTCCACATGCTATTTTCACTAATACATTCGTTTTTATGCACAGTTTTTCTTAACAGATGCATTTTTGTCTACAAAAAACAACAACCAACAACAACTGCATCACAAAATTCAGAGAAATGTGAATTCTGAAGGCTAGCTGTGTTTCTGTTCACATTGTTTTGAGAAATTCAAATCAGGTGGGTTCATACTAAAATGTGAACCTGACTGAGTGAGTTTCTCCCCCGTCCTGGACTTCAGAACCTAATCTGTCCTATCAGGCATCTGGGAAAGGCTGCCCCGTGGAGATGCCCATAAAACAGTAAGTAACCTCCTTAAATGGGGTCAGCCTCTTTTCCCCATCCCAACGTTGAGAAATGGTGACTTACATCACTGGCTGAAGAATAAGTCAGGGAGACAAGAAATACGAGGACAGCCTGAAGGAGAGATCAGATTTGCTCGTTAGATAATTATTGCAGGTTAAATGGCATCTTGAACAAAATGCAATGCAGTACGATAGGGGAAGGGCAGAATGGCAAAAGCTCCCAGGCTCAATCTCTGCTGGCATCTCCAGGTGGGGTTGGGACCTCTCAAAACATATGTGTCCATCAGCATCTTCAAGACCAGCTTGTCTTCCATGGCTACCATATGCACAAAGATACCCATCTCTCTTGCCCAGCAACTTGTTTCAGATTGCAAACCTTCATAAGGTGATTGACTATGTCCATTCTTGCAGTGGAATCCCATTAGCCGATGGCACCAAAAGAAAACATTTGTTATCACTACCGTGGCGAAGCTGGAAGCAGTACTTACCAAAATCTTCATTTGATCCACCTGCCAGATGTTTCTGAAAAAGAGGATTGAAAAAATCTCAGACTTTATGCTTAAATAAAGTTTCCATATCAGCAATTCCAAGGTCCAGAAAGATTAGCGAGATCTGCAGCAACGTAAGTAGCTCCAGACTGGCAGTAATCCCAGCTAAAAGTGGTTGGCAAATAACCTAATCTTTTGTTTTAAACAGACTTCCAGCCAAGTCCTAAAAAGATTCTTTTCACTAGTAAGTTAGAACCAAGCACAAGGAGATGTGCTCCTAATAGAAAGCTTTAAGGATGCAGACTTCATTCAGTGGCTGTTGTGTAGTTGAGCATGGCACTTGCAAAAACCCCAAGGGTGTGCCAGCAGCTTGCAGGTATACGGCAGAATACAAATTTAATTAATTATTATTATTATCAGGAACCAGCAGTGCTGAAGCTGCTTCTGAGTCACAGAATTGTAGAATGATAGAGCTGGCAAGCCCATCAAGGGTCATCCAGTCCATACCTCGGCAATGCAGGAATCACAGCTCCAGAATCCCTGACAGATGGCTATCCAACCTCTGCCTAACCTTCCAAGGAAGTCCATCCCACACTGAAGCAGCTCTTACCCTCTGAAAGCTGTTCCTGGTGTTTATCTGGAATCTCTTTTCTTGCCATTGGAATCCATCGGTTCAGGCCTTCCCCTCTGGAGCAGCAGAAAACAAGCTTTAAAAATGTATATACTAAATGAAAAGGCATACATATGTGTGTATACAGTGGGGAAAATGTGCCCTGAAATGTTAATAAATGTACCACACAAATGATAATCTATGTTGAAAATGCAAAGAAAAAGAAGGTACTTTTTATCATATGTGGTGGGCATGTCCTAAGGTGAAAGACTTCTGGGAAAAGATTTATAATGAGTTGAAAAAAATGTTGAAAAATACATTTATTAAGAAACCAGAAGCCTTTCTACTTGGAATAATAGGACTGGAATTGCCCAAAAAAGATGTTAGACTGTTTTTGTATGCCACTACAGTGGCATACAGTGGCAAGACTTTTATCAGCCAAAAACTGGAAATCGCAAGAGATACCAACAATAGAAGATTGGCAGATGAAGATGTTGGACTTTTTGGAGCTGGCTGACTTGACTGGAAGAATCCGCGACCAGAAGAAAGAGGAGATACAAGAGGATTGGAAGAAATTAAAAGAATATTTAGCTAAATATTGTAAGATAAGATAAATAGAAAATTATTGGAAGAAATTAATAGGCTTAGGGGTAGAGTAAGAATATGTGCTAGTAAATATTAAGGATTAGAATAGTGATAAAGGAGAAGAGATTAGTAAATGAAAGGAGTTAATATTATTAGAAATATGAATTTGGAGAACTGTTAAACAGGTATTATAATGAAATTCAGTTAGAGGGGATTTGAGGAAGTCAGTTATTAATGTAAAGAAATTAGGGATTTGAAGTAATAACTCTTTTTTGTGTCTTTTTTCTTTGTTCTATGTCTTGTAATGTTTTTCTTGTTTCATAGAATCATAGAATCATAGAATCATAGAATCATAGAGTTGGAAGAGACCACAAGGGCCATCGAGTCCAACCCCCTGCCAAGCAGGAAACACCATCAGAGCACTCCTGACATATGGTTGTCAAGCCTCTGCTTAAGACCTCCAAAGAAGGAGACTCCACCACACTCCTTGGCAGCAAATTCCACTGTCAAACAGCTCTTACTGTCAGGAAGTTCTTCCTAATGTTTAGGTGGAATCTTCTTTCTTGTAGTTTGGATCCATTGCTCCGTGTCCGCTTCTCTGGAGCAGCAGAAAACAACCTTTCTCCCTCCTCTATGTGACATCCTTTTATATATTTGAACATGGCTATCATATCACCCCTTAACCTCCTCTTCTCCAGGCTAAACATGCCCAGCTCTCTTAGCCGTTCCTCATAAGGCATCGTTTCCAGGCCTTTGACCATTTTGGTTGCCCTCCTCTGGACACGTTCCAGTTTGTCAATGTCCTTCTTGAACTGTGGTGCCCAGAACTGGACACAGTACTCCAGGTGAGGTCTGACCAGAGCAGAATACAGTGGCATTATTACTTCCCTTGATCTAGATGCTATACTCCTATTGATGCAGCCCAGAATTGCATTGGCTTTTTAGCTGCCGCGTCACACTGTTGGCTCATGTCAAGTTTGTGGTCAACCAAGACTCCTAGATCCTTTTCACATGTACTGCTCTCAAGCCAGGTGTCCCCCATCTTGTATTTGTGCCTCTCATTTTTTTGCCCAAGTGCAATACTTTACATTTCTCCCTGTTAAAATTCATCTTGTTTGTTTTGGCCCAGTTCTCTAATCTGTCAAGGTCGTTTTGAAGTGTGATCCTGTCCTCTGGGGTGTTAGCCACCCCTCCCAATTTAGTGTCATCTGCAAATTTGATCAGGATGCCCTTGAGTCCATCATCCAAGTCGTTGATAAAGATGTTGAATAAGACCGGGCCCAAGACAGAACCCTGTGGCACCCCACTAGTCACTCTTCTCCAGGATGAAGAGGAACCATTGATGAGCACCCTTTGGGTTCGGTCAGTCAGCCAGTTACAAATCCACTGAGTGGTAGCATAGTCAAGACCACATTTTACCAGCTTCTTTACAAGAATATCATGAGGCACCTTGTCAAATGCCTTGCTGAAATCAAGGTAGGCTACATCCACTGCGTTCCCTTCATCCACCAGGCTTGTAATTCTGTCAAAAAACGAGATCAGGTTAGTCTGACATGACTTATTTTTCAGAAATCCATGCTGACTATTGGTGATCACAGCATTCCTTTCTAGGTGCTCACAGACTGTTTGCTTAATGATCTGCTCCAGAATCTTCCCTGGTATTGATGTCAGACTGACTGGGCGGTAATTATTTGGGTCCTCTCTTTTCCCCTTTTTGAAAATAGGGACAACATTTGCCCTCCTCCAGTCTGCCGGGACTTCGCCTGTTCTCCAGGAATTCTCAAAGATGACTGCCAGTGGTTCTGAGATCACATCTGCCAGTTCTTTTAATACTCTTGGATGCAGTTCATCTGGCCCTGGAGACTTGAATACATCTAAACTAGCCAAGTATTCTTGTACTATCTCCTTAGTTATTCTGGGCTGTGTTTCCTTTGCTGAATCATTTGCTCCAAATTCTTCAGGTCGGGCATTGTTTTCTTTATCGGAGAAGACTGAGGCAAAGAAGGCATTGAGGAGTTCAGCTCTTTCTGTGTCCCCTGTTTGCATTTCACCATCTTCTCCTCTGAGTGACCCCACTGTTTCTTTGTTCTTCCTTTTGCTACGGACATACCCATAAAAGCCTTTTTGTTGCTTTTAACCTCTCTAGCAAGCCTGAGTTCATTCTGTGCTTTAGCTTTTCTGACTTTGTGTCTACACGTGCTGGCTATTTGTTTGAATTCCTCTTTGGTGGATTCCCCCTTTTCCATTTTTGTACACATCCTTTTTTAATCTTAACTCAGTTAAAAGTTCTTTAGATAGCCACCCTGGCTTCTTTAGGCACCTTCCATGTTTCCGTCTCATTGGTATTGCCTGACGTTGTGCTTTTAGTATCTCCCTCTTAACAAACTCCCAGCCATCATGAACTCCCTTTCCTTTTAGTATTACTGTCCATGGGATCTCACCCAGCACTTCCCTAAGTTTTATGAAGTCAGCTTTCTTAAAGTCAAGAAATTGAGTCCTAGTATGCTTGGCTGCTCCTTTCCGCTGTATAGTAAACTTCAGAAGAGCATGATCACTTGCGCCTAATGATCCTTCCACTTCTACCCCACTAACCAGGTCATCAACATTGGTTAGGACCAGATCTAAAATGGCTGTTCCTCTTGTTGCTTCTCCCACTTTCTGGACAATGAAGTTGTCTGCAAGGCCAGTGAGGAATCTGTTTGACCTTATGCTCTTGGCTGAGTTTGACATCCAACAAATATCCGGGTAATTGAAGTCCCCCATTACTACTATCTCCCTTCCTTTTGCATGCTTGGCCATCTGTTCCAGGAAGGCATCATCTATGTCCTCCGTTTGGCTTGGGGATCTATAGTAAACTCCCACAATGAGGTCACTGTTATTCTTCTCTCCCTTAATTTTGACCCAAATGCTCTCACTTTGGCTTTGAGGTTCTAAATCTTGGATCTCTTCACAGGTATACACATCCCTGACATATAACGCCACTCCTCCTCCTTTCTTGTCTGGTCTGTTTCTCTGAAATAGATTGTATCCCCAATTATTACATTCCAATCGTGGGACTTATCCCACCAGGTTTCAGTGATGCCTATTATGTCATATTTAGTTTGCTGTACCAAGAGCTCAAGCTCATCTTGTTTATTTCCCATGCTTTGCGCATTAGTGTACAGACACTGAAGTCCATTAATCATTCCCCGTGACTCTTATTTAAGGATTTTTCCTCCCACCACTAGGTCTGTGTGCTGTTTGCTCCATTTGGTCTATGACATTTGGATGATCATCTTCATCAATTGATAGACTCCTACCTTCAGGAGCACTATCTCCCTCCCCACATTAGTCAGTTTAAAGCCCTCCTGATGAGGTTTCTGAGATTTTTGGCAAAAACATTTCTCCCAACCGTTGTGAGGTGCAGCCCATCGCTTGCCAGAAGTCCATCTTCAAGAAACTGCAGTCCGTGATCTAAGAATCCAAACCGTTCCTGTTTACACCATTTGCGAAGCCAGCTGTTCACTTCCACTATTTTCCCCTCTCTCCCTGGGCCACGTCGTTCAACTGGGAGGACAGATGAGATCACAATTTGTGCATTTAATTGCTTCAATTTCCTGCCCAGAGCCTCGTAGTCTCTTTTGATCTTCTGGAGGCTATTGCTTGCAGTGTCATTGGTTCCCACATGAACCAAGAGGAAGGGGTATTTGTCAGTGGGTTTTATGATTCCTTGCAGTCGTTCAGTTACATCTTGGATCTTAGCCCCGGGGAGACAGCACACTTCCCGAGACATCTTGTCAGGCCCACAGATCACTGCTTCTGTTCCCCTCAGTAGGGAATCCCCTATCACCACTACACGCCTCCTCTTAGGTTTGGCCGGGGTTCTTCCATGAGCTGTCCGCTCCAAGGTCGCCTGCACATTCCCTGAGGACTGACTTTGCTGCTCGTCTTCATATACCTGATCGACTGTAATGAGGGAGAGATCCTCAAATGGAGTCTGCTCTTCGTCTTCCATGCTAGGGGAGAGGACCTCAAAGCGATTGTGTATTTCTAAACAATCAGAACGAACCCTGGGCCTCCTACTTCTTTGAGTCACGTTTCTCCATATATCTGGCTCCTGTGTTGGTGAACTAGCGTCCTTCTCAGGGGAGTCCCCTGTCTCCTCCTTGGTGGAGACGGTGTGCTCTGATGCTTCCAAGAAGAGCTCCAGCTCTCTAATTCTTTGGAGCGTAGCTACACGTTCCTCCAGTTGCTGGACTTTGTCTTTTAAGAGGGCAATCAACATGCAATTGCTGCAGGTAAAGCTGCCTGCAACCTTTGGCAAGATGGCAAGCATTGCGCAGGAACCGCAGGCGACTGCAGCTGTTCCCTCCCCCTCCATCTTGAGAACGTGTCGTTGGGGGTGGCTACAGTGGTCCTCCATCATAAAAAGCGTGAAGACAGGAAAAATAACTCCCCCCACAAAAAAACCTAGGTCTTCCCCAACAAACGTTTGAGACTAGCTCCCCTAAATCTAAAAGATGGATCAAACTGCGCGCGCCGCTAGGCGCGCCGCTGCCCTGCAATCTCTGATAAGCTCCTCCCACAGCTAATCACCTGCCTCAACAGAAACCCTGCCCCCTCTGACCTTTGCACAGGGAGAGCAGCCAATCAGCCACAAAGAAACACACACACACAAGAAAACCCTTTTTGCTCCTTCTTCAACTGCTGCCCTGCAATCTCTCCTTTCTTTGTTTCTTTGTGATAAATGTGAAAATCAATTAAAAAATTGAAAAAAAAGAAATGCTAATAAATGTTCCTGAAAACTTAAAAAAAAAAAATGATGAAGAAATATGGTGAGCTGGAAAGATGGAAGGACAACAGAGAAATCTCTGGAATGCAACGAACAGTTTTTCTCCATTAACGCCGAGTGAATCAATTATGTCAATTCCAAGGAAAGCAGCTGGTCTAGAAGCCGAATGCATCATCCATGCTCTCCCTGCCTCTATGCTTCTTCCAACAGTATTAGCATAACCCAACAAAAGCACAATGTCAGCCGGGGCTGGGAGAGAAATTAATTGGATTCACATTTTAATGCAAACCGATTTAATCCCATCGTCATGCCCACGATAGGCAGCTCCTCTTCCAAAGAGGATCTGGGTGAAGATGGTTTGCACACAAACACACACACACACCAAAACTGGCAGCACTCAGATCTTGCGCTAGGCTATAAAAATATTTGGACGTTGGTGACTGCTGAGAAAATACAGTCACAGAATTGTAGAATTGGAAGTTAGCACAGGATAAGGTAAAGGTAAAGGGACCCCTGACCATTAGGTCCAGTTTTGACCGACTCTGGGGTTGCGGCGCTCATCTCGCTTTATTGGCCGAGGGAGCCGGCGTACAGCTTCCGGGTCATGTGGCCAGCATGACTAAGCCGCTTCTGGCGAACCAGAGCAGCGCATGGAAACACCGTTTACCTTTCCGCCAGAGCGGTACCTATTTATCTACTTGCACTTTGATGTGCTTTTGAACTGGTAGGTTGGCAGGAGCAGGGACTGAGCAACGGGAGCTCACCCCATCACGGGGATTTGAACCGCGACCTTCTGATTGGCAAGTCCTAGGTTTTTAGTCGTTTAGTCGTGTCCGTCTCTTCGTGACCCCCTGGACCAGAGCACGCCAGGCACTCCTGTCTTCCACTGCCTCCCACAGTTTGGTCAAACTCATGCTGGTAGCTTCGAGAACACTATCCAACCATTTCTGCGTAGTCCAACAGCTTGGTTTGCCATTCCTCTCTGGTAGGGACTTTGTCTTCTTTCCATCTCTGGGCCATTAGCATCCGTGCGGCTCTTGTCACAGACATAAAAAGTCTTTTCTGCTCTTTGGAACTCCTAGTCTATTGATATCAGGCAAAAACTTTCACTGTACTCATTTCAACTCCTGCAAAAACATTTTTTGTTTTGGTTTAGACAAGCCTACCCAGATGTTTAGACAGTTGTTGTGAGCTTTAATCTGTTTTTAGTCTGCTGTTACTTTAACTTTCCCCAAGTTTTAGATTGTTGTCGTGGATTCTTCTTGATAATTTAATTGCTTTGTCTTTTTTGATAACTGCTTTGAGGTTGGTTGTTGTTGTTGTTTTCAATCAAGTATTAATATTATTAATGATAATAATGTTGTCTCTAATTTGGCTAGCTTTTAAAAGCAAACAAATTGGGCCCAGCTGATGCACTAAATGGATGCTGGGTAGCATAGGTTAGAATCCAGGTGCAATGCCCAGACTTGTGGGCAGTGCCTGGCAATCCACAACCGCCTAACGGTGCCCTCCAAAGTCACTTCTGACTGGGGATGTGGGACTCGGATCTAGTTAGGGATGGAGATCAGACTAATGAGAGCTGTTTTTGGATGTGCGTTTGGCTTCTTGGATGTGTTTGGCTCTCGCAGAGCCAGGCGGGAGAGTTCGTGAGTGCTGAGAAGGAATCTATGTAAAGTATGTAGCGCTGACAGCTGCAAGGGCGAAGCGGCAGATTTGGGAATGCTGGGTGGGAACAGAATGATTGGGAGAGTGTTTCCTTTGGCCAGCCCCCAGTCGAGGCAGGAGGCAGGAATGTGGAGGAACCTATCATGGGCTCTGTGGGCAATTCTCCTGGCTCTCTGGCAGTCTCTCCAGGAGGAGTCTCCTCCATATATTCTTCTTGTTCGACATCTCATTGCCTCTGGAAAAATAGGGGACTAGAAATAAATAAAAAAATTAAAAATTAAAAAAAAAAAAGGTCTCTTGAGAATTCACCATCTAAGGGACACGGGTGGTGCTGTGGGTTAAACCACAGAGCCTAGGACTTGCCGATCAGAAGGTCGTGCTTCGAATCCCCATGACAGGGTGAGCTCCTGTTGCTCGGTCCCTGCTCCTGCCAACCTAGCAGTTTGAAAGCACGTCAAAGTGCAAGTAGATAAATAGGTACCGCTCCGGTGGGAAGGTAAGCGGCGTTTCCGTGCGCTGCTCTGGTTTACCAAAAGCGGCTTAGTCATGCTGGCCACATGACCCCGAAGCTGTACGCCGGCTCCCTCAGCCAATAAAGCGAGATGAGCGCCACAACCCCAGAGTCAGCCACCACTGGACCTAATGGTCAGGGGTCCCCTTTACCTTTACCTTAGAATTCACCATGTTCAGTCAAAAATTACGGTTCTAGAACTAGACTCCTGTCTATGTACACTTGCCACAGTTCTAGTGCTGAGTTTTCAATCTGTGTAATAATAATAATAAAAATTATTTATACTCCGCCCATCTGGCTGGGTTTCCCCAGCCACTCTGGGCAGCTCCCAACAGAATATTAAAAGCACAATAAAACAGCAAACATTAAAAACTTCCCTTGTGTTGACAAGACTATGTTATCCAAAATGCTTATGCGCCTTTGTAATTTCATAGAATCATATGGTTGTTAGGGATCTCTCTTGGAGGCATCGGGTCCAGCCCCCTTCCATGCAGGTTATCACACCTGTCATGGGTGGTTAATGCATCCAATTCCGTCTGCAGAGCTTTCAGAGGATTCAAATCTTCTTGACCTAGTCTGTCAGTTTGGGGAGGCATTTCAGGCCTGCATCCTCTCCTGTTAGCCCCAAACGTGTGTCTTTGAAGATGAAATAAGTCTGAGTTCCTCCTTTTTTGTTTAAATGTGCTCCCTGGCTTATATCAGCTTAAAATCTGTAGCCTGAGTCTTAATATTTCACTGATGAAGGGTAATAGAATCATAGAATCATAGAGTTGGAAGAGACCACAAGGGCCATTGAGTCCAACCCCCTGCCAAGCAGGAAACACCATCAGAGCACTCCTGACATATGGTTGTCAAGCCTCTGCTTAAAGACCTCCAAAGAAGGAGACTCCACCACACTCCTTGGCAGCAAATTCCACTGTTGAACAGCTCTTACTGTCAGGAAGTTCTTCCTAATGTTTAGGTGGAATCTTCTTTCTTGTAGTTTGGATCCATTGCTCCGTGTCCGCTTCTCTGGAGCAGCAGAAAACAACCTTTCTCCCTCCTCTATGTGACATCCTTTTATATATTTGAACATGGCTATCATATCACCCCTTAGCCTCCTCTTCTCCAGGCTAAACATGCCCAGCTCCCTTAGCCGTTCCTCATAAGGCATCGTTTCCAGGCCTTTGACCATTTTGGTTGCCCTCCTCTAGACACGTTCCAGTTTGTCAGTGTCCTTCTTGAACTGTGGTGCCCAGAACTGGACACAGTACTCCAGGTGAGGTCTGACCAGAGCAGAATACAGTGGCACTCTTACTTCCCTTGATCTAGATGCTATACTCCTATTGATGAGGCCCAGAATAGTTTCAATAAAGTTTCAATGAAGCTGGATGTTGGAAGATTTAGGAACTTACTCCCACAAGAGGCAGCATTTCAACCACTAAAAAGAAGAAACTAAAGATCTCTCCGCTACTCTATCTGAACTTTAAAATATCCGTAGAAGAGGCCCTCATGCTGAGGCTAAAACAGCCATCACACACCTAGTGAGATCTCAGGCTGGCCTGTGAGGTTGCTTGGTGAACCTGGGGGTTATGCCCAATGCAAGAACATTCGTGTTTGAGGTTGGCAGAGGCACTCAAGCAATCTCACCTTCTTACCTTTTTTGTCGATCAATGCTTTAGTGCCAAAGATAAATGTGACAGTGATGGACAAAGACAAATTCGTAGATCCCTCTATCCAAAGCCAAAACTGGGACAGTATCCCTGGGATATAAGCTTATGCCATTCCCTAGTTAAAGGATCATGAAGAAGCTCAGAGAAAAAGGACAAATAGAATTCGGAGGTACTAAAACTCAATTATTCCAAGACCTCAGCGATGACACTCTGCAATGGAGATGGGATTTTAAGAAGAGTTTTAAGTTAATAGCACACAAAAGTACGCTGTGCATCATAACAACCTGAGAGCAAGCAAGAAAGTTGCCTTCATTAGTGTCAGGGAACTGCCATCGGCTCAGAGGCAAGGAATAGAAGGGCAGCTGTGTTACAGGGAGCCTCCGAAAATCTTGCGAAGCAGTTCCTCCTCCAGGGAGGAGGAAAGCCCCACCTCTAGTGGGGAAGAGGTGCAAGGACTAGAAGATGCCGTTGCGAGCTTTAACACCGCTCCTGGGCAAGCCGGACAGGAGGGAAACACGCCCTTGCCATTGCCCATCCTGCTCAGTAGACTAAGGCGCAAAGAGGGAAGGAGAAGGTTGGGGGTAACGAAACTCTTATGTTGGGGGAGGTCCAAAAAGAGACCACCCCGGGATTTTGCTAGCAATTGAGCCAGACACGAGCTTTGGAGCTCTTCACTGTAAATAGTTTGCACCAAAATAAAACCTGTAAAACACAGGTTTGGAGTCCTGCCTGGTTACTCTCGAGCAACCGTAACAGCCATCTGACAATTAGGTTTACAAACAGGAGATCTTGAATCAGATACAGAAGAGGAGGAAGCCGGGGTGGAGGAAGGGGGGTGCGGTGGGGGCAGGTCACCCCAGGTGTCACCACTGAGGGGGGTGACAAAATGCTGGGTGGCACTCATTGCAGGCCTGCAGCGTGCCCGAGCCACGCATCTCTCCTGGGAGTGACAAGGTGGCTTGGGTGCCCGCAGGCTCCGCGCTGCCCCAAACGGTCCGCCCACCGCCTCCCCCTCAGCTGTAGGGCGGCTGAGTGGGAGGAGGTAGGCAGACTCCTCAGAGGCCCTGCGGAGTATCCTGCCCTGTCTCGCCCCGCCCCTGGGCACAGGACATGCACAACGCCCCAGGTGCCCAATTGGCTTGCTCCGCCACTGGGAGGAAGAAGGCAGAGAGAGAGGGCGCATAAATTATGGATGGCAAGATTAGCAAAGAAAAGGAATAAATCAAAAGGAATAACAACACAAGGACAGAGTGATATTCATACCGACTCACTTGTAAATACCATCTCACTGGGTTAAGAAACATTAATATTAATAAAGGAGAAGAAGTTAGTAAATGAAAGAAGTTAAATATTATTAGAAATATGAATTTGGAGAACTGCTAAATAGGTGATATAATGAAATTCAGTTAGAGGGGATTCAAGGAAGTCAGTTATTAATGTAATGAAATTAGGATTTGGAAGTCAAAATTTATTTTTATGTGTTTTTCTTTGTATTTTGTGTATTGTAATGTTCTTCTTTTTTCTTTTTTTATGTGTTAAGTGTGAAAACCAATAAAAAAAATTTGGAGGGGAAAAAAAGAATCATGCACTGTGCATGACATCATGTACCCATGCGCTGTGCACCCGCAATGTTGGGTGGAACCCAACGCATCTGCACCCAGGGGGCTCAGGAAGAACAGACACGAGTGGGTTGGGGGGCTGCCACGCTCCCCCAGCAACTACTGCAGCTTCACCACACAGGCATTTCCACATGCTGGCGGGGGCTGATGGGAGTTGCAGCCCAACATAAGGGGCACCATATTTGGGGAGGCTGTCGTTGGCCCACCCATTCCTGTGAGAGGCAGCCCCTGGTCAAGGGATGTTGGGCGACTTGTTCCAGCTCCAGAGATGTTGGGCAATGTGATCTCGCAGTGACCTATTAAAACTACAGCTGCCAGTTGCCTTCCGGTTCATGATAAGATATCCTCAGTGTGATTAGTGTGTGAAATCTCTCCAGGCTTTATTTAAGAGAGCAAAACCGCAATTGTCTTGGAGTCAATGAAATCAGTGTATGAGTTGTCATGACTTCAATGGCCATTGTTCCCTTGTTTCCTCTCGTTCGCCACTGCATTTCATTTATTTCCCTAGCCCTGCCCTTTAGTCTAACAAGAGGATTTGGCAGGAGATGGTCACTCTAGAGGCAGAAATTGACAACAATCGGCAATTGTACTGGCACAGTTGATGAAAGGCATTTCGATGCCAGAGAGAAAGAAATAAAATGAAATTACTTAGGAACTTAGAAAGCAACCCTTTGCTGAGTCAGACCAATTAGCTCAATACTTACACTGAGGTGGTGAAATCCACCAGGCAGGGGGTTCAATAGCCTTGCCCACCTCCTCCTTGCTACCAATGTCCTTGCAGAGGCTGTGCAGCTGGATCATGTCCCCTAGGCCAGAGTTGGTCCCCCCTTAAGGGCACCCAAAAATGACTGCATGGGGAGACTGCTATGATAGCTCCACACCAAAGGTAACCAGATATTTTTGATGAATGCAATATTTTTTTCACCAGGAACTCAGAACAACCAGCCATGACACTTAAAAATGTAAGAATATCAGAAATGTCTGCTGGGTGTTGAAAAACACATTTATTAAGAAACCAGAAGCCTTTTTACTTGGTATAGTGGGGGGTGAAATCCCCAAAAAGGATGTTACTTTTTTTTCTGTATGCCACAACAGCTGTGAGAATATCGTTAGCAAACAATTGGAAGAAACAAGGTGTACCAACTATCGAAGAATGGCAGATGAAGATGATGGACTATATGGAACTTGCCGAACTGACTGGCAGACTCCGGGACCACAGAGAAGAGACGGTGGAAGAAGATTGGAAGAAGTTTAAAGAATATTTGAAAAAAATACGTTAATATTTAAATCTTAGAATAGCTTTGGAAGTGGATATAGGCTGTACGGTTAGAAGTAGAAGATAGTGTATTTTAAAATAGTATTGTTCGTAAGGGATAATATATGAAGATTTTAATGGTAAAAGTAAGTGTAATTTTAAAAAATGGTTAAAAATTATGATATATGTAAACTGCTAAAGATGAAGTAAAATGAAAATCAGATAGGGGGGACTTGGGGAAGCTCAGTTAACAACGTTTAGAAAAAATAAGGATAAGACAAGAATTTGTTTGTATTGTTTGTTTTTCTGTTTGTGCTGTTTATTAGTGTTATAAAATGAATAAATTTTTTGGGGGGGGGGAATAAAAAGAAACGTCTCCATGAATTCGTCCAGTCCTCTTTAAAAGCGAACTAGGTTGGTGGCCATCACTGGTTCTTGTGGGAAGCAAGTTCCTTAGTTTAACGATGCACTTGAGATAATAGCCTCACTTGAAGACAAACCACACCATACTTCTCTGGTCAGTGCAATGAGTAAACTGAGAAAGAACACAAGGGAAGAGCCGTTGGTTCTGCCAGCCAGAGTACATAAGAACACTTTATCCACCTGTCTCCAGCCCAACCAAACTGGTGCGGAATGATAATGTCTCAGGTAGATTTCCACCAAAGCTCTTTGTATGAAGAGGGCACACTTATTCTCAGGCCGAATCAACTGCATGGCACTGCCTTGAAAGCTAACAGAAAATATTTGAAAGTTCAATATTTGAGGTGTGTTCACCGAAGGGGTGGGGAGTAAACACACTGTGAAGCCAGAAACTCAGAAATGAAAGCCAGGAAAGATTGCCAGCAACCTCCCTGAATAGGTTGTTACTGCTGCAGAGGCCATTGTTGCTTTTTGATGAGGAAAAGCTGTTTGGGGCATTTAGTTTAGAGAAGCTTTTGAATTATGGTGCTGGAGGAGACTCTTGAGAGTCCCATGGACTGCAAGAAGATCAAACCTCTCCATTCTTAAGGAAATCAGCCCTGAGTGCTAACTTCCTGCTTAGTGTGATGAAGAGGAAAGCGGCACTAACT